TCTCAGCAGAACTAATCAGTATATATTTGTAGATTAATATGTTGCATATAAAAATACATATTATATAAATAATATATATTGATACTTACATATAAGACATTATTTCATTTAACTCTCACAGCAACTTAATTTATTATTCCTGTTTTTATTGTCATTATAACTCATTCAAGATCAAACAAAAAGTCGGTGGTAAAGTCAGGATTGAAATCCAGGTATGTCTCTCTCTCTCTCTCTCACACACACACTTCTTTCCCACACACTCAACCTCCAACCACTATATTTAATTGTTATATCAGTAAGTCTGGACTAGAAAAGGTTCCTTCAGAGACTTAACAAGAAATACAACTTTGAAGATAATTAAAATCAACCTGATGATAGCAGTTATAAGACTCTGGTACATAAATGATAAAATAAAAGTATATGAAACCACCTTGGTAAATTATGCTATTAATAATTTTACAATAGAAGTACAATTTCTAGAGGAAAAAATTCCAAAGATATCCCAGATTCTGCTCCTACACCCAAATTAAATTCAGAAAGCACCAACTGTTACCCTAAAAAAATGCAAAGTCTACATAACCTTTAATTTTTCTACCTAGATTCCAAGGTAATAAGAACTACAGCTTTAAGGAAATATAGTCTATATACTAGAAAAGAACAAACAGAATCACCAGAAAATTTAAATATATTAGAGTATAACCAATAACATAAATTCACCTCAGAAAAATATTAGCATTTACAACAAATGACATCATGACACAATCCAGTCATCAAGGTTTAAAGCAATATCAGAGTGTAGTTTCCAAGTAAATATTTTTCTTTCAACTCGAAGGAAAATGGATTTTAAAATTTTGATTCAGTTCAACAAATATTCAGTACACACTTACTCCATACCAGGCTTTGTGGCCATAAAAATAAATAATGCAAGATTCTTGTTTTTCCCCTGTCAATAAGATATTGGGGATGGGAGGTAGAAAGGAGAAAGCTGAATAGAGAGGAATGGGATACATAACACCTACACAAGCAACTCTAAAACAATTTGGAAATCATTATAGTAAAAATAATAGTATGAACAAAGTGCTATGTAAATACAGAAACGGAAATGATTATTCTGCCTGGACCTGTCTTCCTGAACCCCAAACAATATATCTAACCGCTTACTTGACGTATCTATATACTTGAATGTCTAACTGGCATCTCAACCTGTCTAAAAACAAGTTGCTGAACAACCCAACATATTTAATCCACTTGTTTTACCCATCTTAGGGAAAGGCTATACTATTTTCCCAACTACTCAGGTCAAAACCTTGAGTCATTCATTACTCGTTTCACTCACACTTCATATCCAATCCATCAGTAAATCCTGTCAGCTGTATGTGACATCTTCAAAATACATCCCAAATCTGACCAATTCTCAACACTGTGATCACCACTCTAGTAAAAGCCAATGCTATCATCACTTCTCTGGTAAGGAACTGCCTCGTTAAAGGTCGCTCTGCTTCTGCCCTTCACCTAATTTGTTTTTTGTTAAAATGCAAAGTCAGTAACATTTCTCAAAACCCAACAATATTTTCCTTTAATCATCTCACTATGAGTAAAGGTTAAAGTTCTTACAAAAGAGCTCAACACAACTGCCCCTCACTACCTCTCTGACTTTATCACCTTTACTCTCTTCCTCACCCACCTTATATCTAGCAACAAATAATCTGGGGAAAAAACAAGAGTAGAGGAAAGGTGGGCAAGAGTTTACTTTGGAAACACTATTATTTCAACAATGAATACCACTTACACAGAGCAAGGAATTTCATTTGAAATTTTATATGAATACCAGCAGTATTTACTTACCATGTAATGTCAAAACTTAATAGAAATATTTAACCCTTTAAAAAATATATAGGTAATGAATCTTCCCAATAAACTCCACAAAGGCAGACAAAAATATTACATACCATTTCAAGAGTATCATGAGCCTCCTTAAAGCCCATTCATGAAGCCTCATCTAAGAAAACAAGGAAATACTAAAAAGGATAGAGCATGGTGATAGCAAGGAATATAGACAGCAACGGTTAACTGAAACAAGAGTCGGAATGCCAGGGTATGGCAGTGAATAGACTTTTGAATGGCATTTTTAAAATTCCTTTTGTTTTCTCTTGATATATCAGATTCCTGGATTACCCACCCTCACAACCAGACACGTGTTTAAACTTAACCTAAACCACTGTTCTAGAGTCTTATGAAAGTTCAAAGCTTTTTCTGACTTGGTTGACTCCTAGGGCATCTTTCCTTACATTTCTCTCCGCTTCCAGACACCTGAATCCTCAGAAGCTGCATTTCTCCTCTATCTCAATCTGGATCCCAACCCTAATTGCATCACCAGTTCATTTATATATATTTATAAAGAATTCCATACCAATATGTTTTACACACCATCCCTATAACCCATACCCCCTATTACTCATATAAAGGATCATCTGAATGTGGTTAAACCCCTTCAACTTCACCGTTCACACAGTACTGTTTCCACACTATAAGTGGTAATGGTAACATATTGACCATCAAGCTCACTTGAGTTATGGACAACTTTATATTAACTATCATGATTATTTAGTTTTACCAGACTTTAAATTTTTGGTTCCTGTTAAAGGCTCAAAATCTCATTTAATCATCACACATGGACCTAAATAAAGCTTGACCCAGCATTCAGAAAGTTTGGGGGGGGGGGGGTGGAAAAAAAGCACTGAAACAGACACAAAATGGCTCTAAATAAAAATTCCTCTATTGATGGCTAAGTCCCTAAATATCCTATAGTAGAAATATTTGCTTAAAAATATATTCACAGAGTACTTTTATTACATTTTTATCAACTAGTGCTCATACAGAAGTATGGATACTGATCAATTTTTCATTGTAGACCTTTGTCAACCTATAATAAAGCCTCAGAAACTATGAGAGATTATGTCTTTAATGATTCCATCTGGAATATATCCCATGCCCATAATAAGTCATTCTTACTTATTTACAATGACTTACTTTAAGTCATTGCTTTCTTATAATTATTGTTTCTAAAGCAAACCAAGTAAATACTGAAACAACCCTTTTCCTCTCCTTGAAATATTTTTTTAAAGGGAATGGGGATAAGGACCTTGAGTCCGCTGAAACCCTGCCCTTAATGCATAAAACCAAGATATTACAGAAAAATATGTGGACCTTTATCACTATATACTGTTTTTTACTTAAAGGATCTCTGACCTGAAAAGTCAGCATTTAATCGTCAATGACTCTGCTCACACAAAGTTCTGTCAGGATATTTGCCTATCATTTGAATCTTCTCATTTTCCATTCTCAAATATCATGGATTACAAAAAAGGAGAAAAACTTCCTCTTTTCTTACACATTTATTTTACCTATTTTATATAGTCCATATTCCATAATAAGCAACACAGTAAGCACTATGAAAATTCCTTCTGCTCCCTGATAAGGTGAACTTTAAATGTTAAAGTAAACCACATTACTTTTGCATTTAAGGAAAACAGCATTTTGTCTAGAAAATTAAAGTAGCTTTTCAACACTCTTTTTTAGTATTTTATTAGCAATTAAAAAAAAGAATTTAATAATATTTTCATCATGACTGAGAAAAAGAAGAACAGCATTATAAATTCCACTGTATGTTCAAAAGAGGAGAAATGCTACTGTAGACAATCTAAACACAAATTTTCAACTCTTTTTTTATACCGTATTTAATTTTGCATTAAAAAAACCAATTTCTGTATAGATCTGGTTCTTTGAGAAATAAGCATGTGCGTATTTACTGAACTCTCAGGTAGTAAAAAAGATGCTTAGGACTCTACAGCTGAGTCAAGCCTATTTTTGTGGGAAGGAAGGGGTCTGGGAAGAGGGGCCAAGATAAGGAAAGCAAATTCCTATGCCTCAAAATGAACCTTTTCCAAAGAGACCCTAATAATACTCCCAAACAAACTCATAGGTTACTACACAAATTTAGCAGTTAATTGTAAATATAATAATTCCTCCTTTTACTTATAAAACATTTGTGAAAATACATTAATGCCTAGATGATTATTATCTGCATTGCAATAATCTTAGTAATTATAATGAGTCAAAAAAACCTTATTCCTGAAGCACTATTGTCAGCATAATACAATAATAGAACAGAGTTTTTATTACACTTGGAAAAAGTAAAATATTATTTGGGTGGATACTGGCATTGTATGTGGTAAAGTTTTCTAAAACCAAATAATCAAATAAAATTATACAAAATTCTTGGTATTATTTGCTTTTCAAGACGGTAGTTTGAAACCTATTATAATTTTAGCATTAATCTCTAAATATAATGGTATTTAAGCTGTTCTAGGCTGTTGAAACCTAAGCAAAATTTTCAGTATCAAGTTGCAGAATAAAATTAAAAAGAAGACTAAAACAAATTATTTATAGGCTTGTGGACAGTGTTTAGCAATTTATGCATCTACCAACACTTAGGCTACTTAATTTTATATTCTCTCCCTCTAAAATATATCTTAATTCTCTTTTACTGCAACAATTCCCATATTACGGCATTAAAATATAAATGCACTAAAAATCCAGAAATACTCCACAGTATACTACGGAAATCAAACACATATAAAACTACACACACACACACACACACACACACACACACACACACACACACACA